TCCCCCCCTTTTTGCCCCCTTTTTTAGCCCCCCTATACCCCCCCCTTTTTAAAAAAAAAAACCCCCCTTCCCCCGCCTAAACCCCCCCCCCCCCCCCCCCCCCCCCCCCCCCCCCCCCCCCCCCCCCCCCCCCCCCCCCCCCCCCCCCCCCCCCAACCCCCCCCCCCCCCCCCCCCCCCCCCAAAAACCCCCCCCCCCCCCCCTTTCCCCCCCCCCCCCCCTAAGTTACCCCCCCACCCCCCCCCCCCCCCACCCCCCCCATCCCCCCCCCCCCCCCCCCCCCCCCCCCCCCCCCCCCCCCCCCCCCCCCCCGTTTTTTTTTCCCCCCCCCCCCCCCTTTCTTTTTCTCCCCCCCCCCCCCCCCCCCCTTTTTCTCCCCCCCCCCCTTTTCTCTTTTTTTTTTCCCCCTCCCCCCCCCTTTTTTTTTTTTTTTTTTTCCCCCCCTCCTTTTTTTTTTTTTTTTCCCCCCTTTTTTTTTAATTTTATTTTAAATAAACCCACCAACCGGGGGGGGGGGGGGATATATTCCAACCTAGGTAATAGATCAAATTTCATTAAAATCGATTGAGCAGTTTTTGAGGTAGGGACATCCTCTAGAGTCTAGGGGACAGTTACTGGAAGTCAGTTTGACTAATTTTTAAAGTACTTATTCATACTGTTACATAAAGACGGATGATTAGTCATTGCGAAATAACTTCTAACATTTCATGGAGACCGTTCTTAAACTAACCTTTACTTTTTGATTTCGGTGGTAATACATTGTTGCTACTGCTAACTGATTCTTCATTCTCTGATTCATCTTCGGCAGGAGTATTCTTTTTATTTTTTTCTAGAAGAATGTTCAGTCAATATAATTAATGACTGGTAGTTTTTTTTTTTTTAATGAAGTTAAGGTGTAATAATTTAAAGGTGTGGTACTAAACTCTTAACAACAATTCAAATAATCAATCGAAATAGAAAACTCTACCTCACAGAACATGTTTAATATTAAAAATAATGATTAACAAACAGAGGTAGAAATATAGCTATTCCAGACTTATGACAGAAAAATATTTACCATTTTTAGATTTTGGTGCAGGTGCATTACTTGACACATTACTAATAACAGATTTTGTATCTTCATTGTCCGATTCATCAGATTCTGCTATTGCTTTCTTTTTATTTTTTGCTAAAACAAAATAAATTATATTGCTTTTCAAGCATTATTTGAGGGAAAGATATTGGTCATCTGAGCTTAGCAAACACAGAACAAATTAAAAAGGACCAACTCTTCACTTTATAAAGATTATTACCAATATTACTAATAATTACTATACTCCAGAATTATCAAAATATCTAAATATGTTTGCTGCCATATGGAACTACAAGTAAATGACCTATATTATGAAATTAATAATTTTCTGAACTTAGTAAACAATGTTACTACAATAGAAGTGATATGTATATATATACCTTTCTTTTTCATAATGGGCTGTGCTATTTCTTCTTCCTCAGAGGCTTGTTTAAGCTCTAAATCACTACCTTCATCAGACCAGTCATCACCTTTTTTACCTTTACCTACAACAAAATGTTTTTATAAAAAGACATTTAAATAATATGAAATCTATAGGAACTTAGATCAAAATATTTTGACAAGGAGGATCCATTATCTCATTGTACTATATGTACACAATGATACAAGCTTCCACAATCCTCTCACTAGATGTTACTTCAAAAAAAATTAAATTGCTTGCATCCCTAGTGCATGGCAGATGCATTTCTTTAAACATGAATAGAAATACTTAACATGTTTATACATTTATATTACCTTTTTTCTTTTTATTCTTTGCTGCAGGTTTTGTAGATGTATTTGTGGTATTGCTAATAATTGATTTATCCTCTTGCTCATCATCAGACATATCAACCCCTTTCTTTTTGTTTTTACCTATTTAAGTAAGAATATAAACACAAATAAATAATAACATCAGTATAATATTTTATTAAAATGCCTACCAATTTAAACAAGAATATGTAAAAATATCATATTCCAGATAAATAAAGTGAATGGATATTATTAAGTTCTTATTTTAAAAGGTAATAGACCACAAGCCCATGAACAAAAAATACCTGTGAAATGACCCAACGTGAATTACGCTTAGAAGGCTGTTACTATATCTGAAAATAGCCCTGAGCACTATGCCGTCATTTCTGAGCGGTACATGTGAGTACCTGAGTGAATGGACTTTCTCAGGTACAATTAGGGAATTTTCGACTAATTATTAATGTACGGCTTTGTTATAAGTGTATAGATGATTAAAAATAAATGTCGAAAAACTTAGTGCCGTACTAAAGTGATGGTACCGGAAGTCGGTGCAAATTTTTAATTCGACGATAGTTGAAGGAGCAATATAGGTCATTTATTACTGTACGGCCTTTGCGTAATTCCTTTTGGACACATATACAGATAATAAAATACTATTTATATATTACGTGTTACTTGCAACTAAACTGGCAGAGAAATTCCATTGTACATAGCAGGTGTCGTTCCGCTCTCCTGCTGTTCGAGATCCCTACTGCTATTTTTATACACTTATAGGCATCTTTGAAAAATTTTCCTATATGTCTACTCAGGTAAGATTTAACATATAAATAAAATAAAATACTGTTTAAAGTGAAAATATATGGTCAAACATTAATTTTTCATAATATTTTTTTTTTAAATTATAACAATGGATTGCACAAAAAAATTTTGGGTAAACATTGCAATTTATAGCTTAAAAAACAATATCCCACATCGATCATATTAATTCATTCACTGTAACTCGAATCCGAGGTGAAAACCCCCAGGCGCTTTACTAAAAAGCAAAAGGTCAAAATCAGATTTCAATTTTGGACTTAGCTTAGCTTAATCTAATAACTATAGAATCTATAATGTATACTATATAACTAACGAATAATGATACTTTAACAGATGTCAAGGAATACATAATAAATTAAAAATAAACACTTAATAATAAAATAGTCCTTAAGAATGTACCAGACTTGATTTATCATCTTGCTCTATCAGATCTTGTATTTTATAATCAACTATATAGTTTATGCAACAGTTTAGTAAAGTTTTAATTAAAATTATAAAACTTTACATGACCTAATCATTATCATCTACCTTTCTTTTGAGACTTCTTTGAAGCTGGTTTAACATCCTGCTCATCGTCTGATATGTGTGCTTTGTTCACATCTCCTTCTGCATCACTGTCCACGACATCTTTCGCTTTCTTTTTGCCCTTTCCTTTGGTCTTTGAGGTTATAGCGTCGTTGGCAACAGATTTCTTGTCCTCAAAATCTTCATCCAAGTCTAAATTCTTTTTATTACCTTTTTTTTTTGACATCTTTCTAATTGAATAAGTCTAAAATATTAAATGTATTAAAACAGAAAACATCAAATAATAAAAATATCGAAGCAATATAGTTTGCAAAAGAGATGGGATCACGATTGACACTTGACAGTTGACAGACTGACACTGATCGACACAGATCGAGTACAATAGAGATTGACATTTGATTCCAAGACTACGATATATCGTGGTATTTGATCACACTTCACAGTGGATTTACATACTAGAAATACAGATAGATTACTTAATTAATTACTTGTATCTAAAATTCTAAACATTGACATATTCTTTCGCTGATTTCGTAAACTTTTAGGCTACAAGCTGTATTGCAAACCTTTCCTTATATTTGTTTAAAGGGCCAGTTTTGTAGTTAAGCATAAATGGTAACACAAAATATAATTAACAAATAGGCTTCTTATTGGTTTTATGGATATATTTTTTTATAATATTTTAAGTAGGGCTTTTCAAGAGGACTCCTGCCAAGCAAGCCTCGTCCACAGAATTCCTTTGAACGTCAAGAAATCTGTTGTATGAAAATTAGAGGCCAAGTCCAAAACTACAATTTTGTACTATACAGATTAATTTGATTCTTAAGAGCGCGCATTGGGCTAGGGCAAAATTTATGATTTCACCCGCGCGGGTTCCTCCGCTTTTGAGACAAAAGCAATCACCGCGGCGCAATGGTCGCGCATCTGTAGTACAAACTCGAGGGCATTTTGAACGGTGCGTAGTACATGCAATACAATTATTAAATAAAATATTAATATGTGGTTTACTTAACGAGTGCCAGATTAACTGTTTCGTCTACATATATACTACGCGGTATGATTTGAAATCTCATGGAATGCATGAAAACTGCCTTAAGAAATGCACAGTTGTGGAACGACGGACATCGAGGTGATTCAATGGTATTTTTTATTCTGACTTAACGTCCAATCTAAAAATCTGACGTAACACCACTCTAAATATAAAAAATCCACCCATGCTTCGGTCTTGGTTTCCGAGATCCCTGTGGGATCACCTGACCATTTCGACTTTACCAGGGTTTCATATTTTCCCGGTGGTTTGCGCCGCGATACACACAAAGTCGGACTGTGTCAATTATGTACATACTTTGCTTTATCTTCGCATCACCTCCCATCATAGTTAACATTTTACTTACATGTATTTTAATTGGGTGTGTATCTTTAGTCTCTTTTTAATTCTGCAAGTTCATTTTAGTAGGTAGTAATTTCAACTTTATTCTCGATAATATTTAAATAAAGGATCTTTCAAATTCCAGTAATCATAATCCATCAGAAACCTAAATGTGAAGGAGCCATAAGACAATTAATACGTATGTATGTATCGTGACCGTATAGCTAAATTAATCATTTCATGAAATGTTCGGCCATATTGCATATACGTTTTTTTTATCAAACTTTAGAGTGTGAAATTTTTCTATTTGGAGCTTAAATGAGAATTTTAGTTAAACATTCCTTTTATATTTCAAGAAGGTTCCCATAACATTAATAACTAAGCAGAAAGTTTCTACTTACTGGCTGAAAATTTTCTATCAAGACTTGTCATAAAAATTCTATTAATGAAAATAGAACATAAAATTCTCGCAGTAAAATAATATTCACCATGGGTAAGAATATTTTAATGGATTTTTTAATTTGTGTTCTTTTGTTGTTTAATATTTTACAAATTTGCGCAAGCCAAGTGGACAAAAAAAGCGCCGATTACAATGAGCCTCTGGATGATTCTGCCATGAATGGAATGGATATCGCAGACCAGGATATGAGCACGAATAATAACGTTTCAATGTGTGTGAGAAGACAGAATACTCTGATGCATGAAATCCAGACGGCTAGCCCGAAACAATTCCCATTTGTCGTAGCACTTATGTCTCAAAGGAATGAATATGTTTGCGCAGGATCTATTGTTGCGAATGGCATAATTCTCACATCCGGTCACTGCACTCAATTGGCGAGCTATGCTCTGGTAAATACAACTTCTGATAAAAAGGACGAAGCTACTATACAGTTGCACGTGATAAAAACTGAAAATTTCCCAACCTATACTGGGCCAGATGCCGCTAAAAATGTTGGAATCCTATTTACTGAAAAACACAATAATACTATAGCTTCAAAAATTCGCCTGAGCAATGTTACAGACGGAAAGAATTTAAATGAAATGGAAGCTATAGGATTTGGGTTAAACACTGAGGTTGGACAGCCAAAAACCTTGCAGGTTATAGGAGTAGAACAAAGGTCAACTAGTGGCGATGTATTACTGGGTTTCTTTGATTGCATTGAAACCAAAGTGCCAACATGTTTCAAAGATTTAGGAGGGCCTGTAATTTTTGATAGTGAACTTATTGGAGTGGTAACTAAAGGACAAAATGAATGCACTAAAGAAATGACCACATCATACGCAATAAACAAGCACATTGTTGACGTTCTACCAATCTATACTTTCAAAGCATGGCTTGACGACCAAATTCTTAAAAACCAAGAGCAGGTTAAAGAACCTCTAGAAATATATCCCTCGAAGCCGATATTCCGCGAAGCAGTACACGTGATGACAAGTTCTGGAAATGGATTTAAAATTAGCTTGTCGTTATTTATTATTCAAATTTTATACAAATTACTGTTGATTTATTAGTTATGATAATGGAATTTTATTTAAATTTTGAGTAAAAGGATGTCAATTTGAATTATGCAAATAAAGCTACATAACTGAAATCGTGATTGTCCATTAATGTGACTAACTGTCATGAAATAACAGGCATAAAAAATAATTATTTCAATGTTAAATACGAACTACTACGAAAGGTCCAAAAAATTTGCAGTTTAACTTTCCAATTCTACAAGCTCAAAATCTAATGTTTATTAAAACTATTTGAAATTGTGCACAGTGCTTCCAAGCTATCGATCATCTTATATTCATTAGCTACAACCTAAAGAAAGCTCCAATACTAAAACATAAAATTTTGCAATTAATAAGAATGTCGTAAACAAAAAATTAGTTATCATTTATTATCATTACAAAATAATCTGCATACATTTTTAAATTGAAAAGTCGCAGAATGTTCACGAATCTTTTTATATATTTTCATCGTTAAATAAATAGAATATTGTGAGATATTTCTTAAATGTATTCATAAATTATTTGTATACTTATATATAGTTATGGTTGTGCACCATAACTGTAAAGTGTCCATTTATTATTTGACTCAAAACGGGACTTTGGTTTAATTTAGGTAAAATAATAAGTAGTCAATTTAAAAAAAAACTTTTTAAAGTTATTTATTTAAAAAAGTTAGTTGGCTTAAAAGCAACGAATTACAAAATATAGGTGGGTAGCAAAAATAATATTTATATTTATCAGAAGAATAAATTTGCTTTAATTTTGGTAACGATTTCAAATAAGAATAAAACTCTTGGCACGTTTTATTTTTTATATTCTGCGGCTCAAATTTTCGCGCGGTTTCTGAAAATGGGACAATTTTGCGTCCCACAGTTCATTTTGGGGACACCGGGACTCGTAATTGGAAAAAGGAACAGTCCCGTTCAAAATGGGACGTCTGGTCACGTTAACCATAAGTGACACCATCAATCTTGATGGTTTTTTTGTACCTTGTGAAAAATCTTTTAGGAAATATTGCCCGCCTCAAGTTGTATTTTTAAGTCTTGGTGAACATCCATGTGAAGTGTGAACGTCACGACGCAGAGATTATAGATATTTGGTATAGCGATTTTTGTTTCATTGGTCGGGCTCGTAGACGGACTATGGTATAGACCAGGCGTCAGCGTACAGCGTGTGAGATAGCGAATGATCGACATATGTCGTATTTACAGTTTTAATTCATTGAAGATTGCTTATTATTGACCAAAATACACATTGGAATGAATAATTCTTGATCAAAGTTACTGAGTCGTGACAAAATAAGCTACTTACCGATGAAAGGTTATGTTTGGTTCTTTACGTTCACTATAGCTTTTACAGCCAATTATGCAACAATTCACAATGACTGAACACTTTAAATACACCTCTTATAAGGATTAAGTCTTAAAATATTGGTTTGACTTGGGTTTCACAGATTTATCAGTAAGTGGTGAAAACTTGTTTACCACCAAGGGCTCGGTGGTAAACAAATAAAACCCGATACGCAAATAGAGACAGAAAAACTGATACTCTGTTTCGCTCGCACTTAAGTGTTTCACGTTAATGCCTTCTCTCTTTAGTTATTATTGTTGTTTAAAGGTGCGAAGGTCATCTAAAATTGTCTCAATTCCAGTCTATACTCGGTCGAATTATGACGTCACGACTATATTATTATTCGCATAGAATAAGTATAAATACTCGCAATTTAATATTGAACGATACTGGCGTTAGTTCTTCGCTTAGGTTATACACACGAGCATTCAGTTTTCGCTCGCTATTGACGACATTGTTCTTGCTGCGGCGGTTTTAGCGCCTTTTTATCATTAATCAAAAACAAAAAAGAAAGAAAAGGAATAGGCGTATCTGGGTGCGATCGTTTTTGGAAATAGGACAAAATTTTCTTTATGTAAAGATGATATATTAATTCAAAAACTCTTACTAGAATGTCCCACGCAACAGACTTTGAAATTACTTTTGAATAAAGTAATTAGAAATTTTATTATTTAGACCTCTCCTCGCGGAAGCAAGACGGCAAGCCGCAAAACCAAAACAAGTGCGAATGAGACATATACAAAAATGCTTGGAATTTCCAAGTCCATTTCGTAAATTCGTCTTCATGCACTGCGACATTGAGCGATTTGAAAAATCTGGAGCAATTAGAAGCAATATCGCCGAAATAATTTATTGCAATTTGTTGATATTTATCAAAATTGCTCCATTAATTGCTCCAGAGCGGTCAATTCGTGTCGCCGAGCAATTATTGCCCTCGTGTAAGCGCACCTTTAGAAGCTCATCTAGTTCTATACTCTATCTACGGTCGGGCTATATGAAATATTATTATTCTCATAGATGAGATATAGATATATTTATATATTGAATTATACTCTTAGTCTGTGCTTAGTTTATCTATGACCTCTATTTAGAACTTGATCTGTTCTGTTTTTCTCCCAAATTTATGGTGAATTAAGATGTCCAAGGAATTTATGGGTATGCGTTTCTTTAGGGGGATTTTTAAGGAATAGGGAGTACTTAATTCAAGATTAAAAAAAACACATGATTATATATTTATAGTAAGCCTCAAACCCAACCAAGAAACTAAACCAAATATAAGATAACACGTAAGGTTGGATTTCTGATCTTTGTAAATATTTTTTTCGTAACTTAATTTTAAAGTTAAAAAATATAATCATTCATACATATTTTAGGTCATTAATCAATATTTGTATAATACACCCGCATAACTACGACAGCTATTTTATATTACTTTACTTTACTGTATTTGTATTTTTAATTCATTTTATAAATTATAGGTCTACCAGAATCTGATGGCAACACCTTTTGGTTTTTTTTTTTTAAATTACGATTTTCATATGGCAATAAAAGAAAAATTTCATCTGTCAACTGAAATTTCGAGGGAATTGTTTTTGGTAGGTTGGCTTCAAATTTCCTTTAAAAAGTGATGAAAATGTCGAAGAAACCTCTTCGATCGCAATAACAAGGACATATTGTTTTCAATGTTTATCAAAGAATAGCTTGATGAACAAGATGCAGAACATACACAATCATCGATATTGAGCCATGTGCAAGCGTTGACTGGTTAGTAGGAATGACACGTCTTGATACTTTGGTTTATGGGATTTTCAGTGTGTATTAGTATTAATGTACTTATACTAAATTTTGGTTTATTTCAGGGGTTCTATACCACAAATAAACTTGGAAAGTTTTGATGTAGAATTGCATCAGAAACAAGATAAATGAGTTTTACATTGTTTCTTCTGTCAAATGGGGATCGATGAATAGCGAAAATCTTGTGAACATGTAATACCGAAAATTTAAAATAAGTTGATAGAACAATATCGGTTATTTGAGATGCAGGAGGAAATTGGTTTATTATAATACTGCGTTGAAGACTTTTTTATGGATGTGCAGTATTGGGAACCATTTTAAAGTTTTAATTAATTAATAAACTCAGAACAGATAATTGGAGTTTTCATCAAAATTTCAAACCCCACATTCGCCACATTTTCAAAAATTTTATTGGATCAATTTTTATATATTTTGCATATATCACACACAGAATCAGCCGCTATAAGGAAAAAAAAGTATCAAAACGTTTTACTCCAATTTCCCCAGTGTACTGCTAGCGATCAATTTCTTTTTCCCTTTTTGCATCAGATGGTGACCTATACTTTACAAACCGAGTACAATAACCTTTTAGGCGTTCCTAGTTTAGATTTTATGTGAATTGTGAAGTTGATTCTAGGGGGAATATTTGTAGGAGCTGGCATCACCATACTTACATTTCAAGATATTTTATTAGTAAATTGCAAGAATAAGATATAATTTTTAAACTCTTGCTCATAGCCATTAGTGCTATGGAATAATTAAACAATATTCTTTATAAGTAATTAACACCCACTTAATTAAATAGCTTTAATGTTTGATCATCCATGTGCAGGGGTGAGCACAAAATACTTTATATACATTCTAATGTTATGTAAATAATAAGTTTTGGTAACAACAATCTAACCACGCTTGGAAAAACAAAAATTATTCGCTATGTTTCGTATAATTTTTTGAAAATATTTCAGGAAAGGGTGTCCTTGAAAGTTGTAATTCCAAAAGCCAGAAGAGGAATCCATGATCATAATCCTATTATGAGGAACACACCAGAACTTACATCCGGAAGACACGAAACTTGGGATGAAGTTGATAACATTTTGAGGTACCTGATATTACTTTAAATCGCAGTCACATATATTCACTTAATTAACATATTAAAATACCTTGTATTATGATCCTTCCAATACTTGAAATTATGTTGAACAGTACCAAGGGCTTTAGAGCTTTGTTCAAATTATTAATAAATAGTTTTAATTCTGATTAATATATATTGACAATTTACTTTACTTTTTCTTTCAGCAAACCAGCTAGATGTTCCAGCCCTATTTCAGTCCGAAAGCAATTGCCTCGAAGGTCATCAGTTGATGCTGAACTATCAGATAAAAGTGATGATACCGATTCTGAGTAAGCTTAATATATTCCATGAAAATAGCAGGTCCAAAATATTTTTGACTTAAGTAAATTAGATTTTTCAAAGCCTTAATTTCAGAGTTAGAGTCAGATAGTAAGATTTTTTAAGCATTAACTATGATTCCTGTGTGACAATAATGTACAGACATAAGTCAAATCTAATATCTATTTGACACATGGGAGTCATACTTTCTGGGAAGTCTCCATTGTGATTCTTACATGAAGTTGTCTTTTCTTTTTAATCGTAAGCATTTTTACATAACTGTACTAATTGGTAAAATAGTGGAAACAATTGGTCTGTGGTGTTGTGCTCAGTATTATGGTAAACTTAAAAATTGAAGACGCTAATGTTTGCATGTTTTTCTTATGGATCTGCTATTAAAATAATTGTTACCTCACAATCACTTCATTGCTACATTGCAATTTTAATACTGCTTGAATTTAAACTTTCAAATTTGCTTACAAGCTTACTTGCCAACCATCAACATTTAATTTCAAGTATCAGTTGTCATTAATCTTTTTGAAGTGATGTTAAAAGGTAATAATTCTATTTCAGAGATCTTTTATCTAAATCCTCTCCTGCTGATTTTCAAATACATTCCTATTACAGAGATGAAAATTGTCCGTACATAAATTCTAATAGGGATGTTCCACTTAATACTTCCTGGCATAACTATTCAAGAAGTTCAGATACAAATATTCCTGAATACCAAACTAGAAGAAAGAGTGGGTTTAATTCCAAATATATAGTACCAATTATCATAGCCTTATGTGGAATATGCTATATTGTTTATGAGCAATACAGTGATAAGAATATTAGCTTCAAAATTTATGATAGAATCAATTTTTATGATGATTTAAAAAGCATGGCCCAGAAGTATAAAGTTAAACCAGATTCAATGTTGCAAGTGCGCACAGGTAATTACAACATTTGTTATAAAGTTGCAATGCTTAGATCAATTATTCCAAGTACAAACAAATGCAGTAAAGTGTAAGTAATTGGTAATTTCTTGTTTGTGTAATCACCAATTACTTGTGTTGTATTATTATAATCAAGTTTATTTGCTGTGTTGTAATATTTTAGTGAAGTGTTCATAATGGTTATAATTATAGTAATTTTTAGGAGTAGATACAATATTTCAAAAGGAGGATGCTGGCTCATTTATATTCACTTATGACAGCAAATCATTTGATTCTGAGCTGTTCTATAATTTCATAGATAATATCTCTTCTGCAGCTTCCAGATACCTACGTATGTATACTTCTTTAAAAAAAAATTAAACTTAAAGTTTTATTACCTTTTTTATTTTTGGCGGTAATTTTTTCCAGTGGTAAATAAAACCGTAGAACAAAGCGGCTCCGGGTTAAATTCCTAGCAAAACTATCTTGTTAAGAACTTGCTGACTTAAGCTATCATTGAAAAACATGATTAAACAGATATAAAAATGTATCTACTAGTTACTGCCCTGTAGGGAATCATCCATTCCTTAATCACATTCCAAACATGTATATAAGTTAAACTGCCCAAGTTTAACTTTACTTTACAATATTATTCAAATACCATTCAGTAAAAAAGTGTTAACTCTGACTTAATTTTCCAGGGAATGACACAAAAGATGTCCAACATGTTGTATTAGACAGCAGTAAAGTAATTACTATCAAATCAGATGTAGATCTTATTTATGAATTTCGTGATAATTTAGATAAAACTGGTGTCTTACTGGTGAAAAACATTGAAAGGGTACCAGCTAAGCTTGCTATGGCATTTCATTATTATTGCGATGAATTTAATCCATTAGTAAAAAAAAGTGCAATTTTCTTTACACTAGATGTCGCGAAATGCAAATCACTGATAAGTAAGTACTTTTAAATAATATCCTTAATGCCTTATTTTTGACATACAGATATCATATTTACTACCGCTGAGTCTAAATCTTAGAAAACCCTTGACTTAAAAGACTATAAGGCAGAACTGTCCTTTGCTTATGGTCTATAACAAAAAGCACCTCCCACGATGACTGCCAGTCTAATGGGAGCCAAAGTTGCAGTTCGAAACATATGCAGTGTTATCACTGAACATGAGGTGAACATCCTACAGGTGCCTTTTCTTATGAAATTGTTTGTTCTACAACGAAAGTTTTATAAAATTTTTAAGTTAAAATGTTTATTAATATACAACCTTATTTTGTAGGTAAACCATCTCTTGATCATGATTATATTGAGAGGTGTCTTAAAGATATATGGAGAGAAGTTGACAGGGACAAGATAGCACCACTTTTAACCAGAGTAGTTGGTGTTATTGTTGATGTTACAAACCTATGAATAATTCATTAAATTTTGCAGTTTAAAATTAATCTTTAAATCTGCCACTAAACTTTTAGCATGCTGCATGCCAGTTTATATACATATTTTTTTCTTAAGTTCTAAGGACTTTTGTACTTAATGTAATAAAATTAATAATGTAATGTACTGTAATATAATTAGGTAACTTATAAAACAGAAATAACAGCTGTTTCTAAATTTAAAAAATGTATCTAATGGAGGCTTTATCACAACATTACTAATGCAACATGAAGAAAATAAATTTAATTCTCATGTCATATTGTTATGTCTTTGTTAACTTTTTTTCAAGTCAGTCTGCTGCTGAAGCTGCAGTCATATCTATCACTGAAGTTTTACATATTTTAACAGTATTACATTTTAAAACAAATTCTAGTACACCTTCACATGTAGAATGACTATTTAATTTCATAGTAGTAGTATTCTTAGTCATGCTATTGTGATCTTAGCCTTTTTGTAATTATTGTTTAAAAAAGGTATTCTATTATGGTTTTGAAATTTTTTTTGTTGCCTAATATTATTAAATTAGTATTATTTATATTTTTAGTAAAATATATGATTGATAGGTTAATTTTACAGTTTTTAATGACTTTATTTATTTCTTTTATTGTTTTTAAAAAACTGTTTCTTAATATTTGTGTGGCTTGGTCTTTTAAAATTGAAAGATTTATGTATCAGAAAAAAATATAGAAATAAAATAATTTTTTATAATAAATTATATGAGACATTGTGAATGAAATTTTATAATTTTAGCAGTAACCACCCCTTAACAACTTATTCTAATCTTTGATAAAATAATAACTTATAAATATTCTTAGATGTTTATAACTTAAAATTATTCCTCTGGAAGCTGGAGGTCATCAACAGAGTCACCTATCTCATTATTATTATGGGATGGTGAATATGGAGCTCTTAATTCTTCATCTTCATCATGAGATTCCTCTGTATCTTCTGATTCTTCATTGCCTGCAAATTATATATAATTTAGTACCTTACAAAAGCTTGTGGTATAATAATAACAGTAACTTATCTATACTATTAATCCCAATGATTTTTGATTGATTACTGGATATCTATATGAGTATGAAACTATTTTAAATGGTTAAGTGAATATAATACCTTCATCCGATTCAGCCTCCTCTTCCATTGTCTCTGGCTCAGTTTTGCCAATGGGTGACCTTTTAGTAAACTTTTGTATAACAGAAGTTAACTGAAAAAGATTTTACATTTGAATAGATGCATTTTATATAAACTGATTCTTTAAGGTATGTAAGGAATCTTACGCTGTATTGATGTTCTTGTTCTAGGCTGGTGAGTTCGGCTTCTTCATCACAAGGGCTATCAGCTTTAAACCATTTAGTGTCCACCAAACGAGGCATTAAAGTTGGAAATGGTATATTCATTATAAATGACTAGTAGTGATTAGGTATAATAATTATTATTGATCGTTATTTCGTTCGCAAATATTTACAAATTAAATAATACTAAATAGTATGGACACTTGACAGATGACAAGTCAGTGTTGCCAATATGCTATAGTCAAAAGTAACATTTTCATATTTGTTTTTTTTTATATTATGGCAACAGTTTTAACTTTATAGTGCCAGTTTCAAGTAAAAGGTTGGGAAACTACACGCAAGAAAAAATAAACAAAGACATCAAAAGGAAATAAAGGGATAAGCTAGTTAAAAACAAAATATGTACATAAACATATTACATCTTAATATTATTATAGATTATGAAAGAAGATAATACAATAAAGGCTAAAGCAAAAGGCACGAGATTTTAGTCGGAAACGGAAAGTGAAGATTGTAAGGAATTTAGAAAGGAGGTGCGGATATTGGGAACAAGAAAAGAAAATATGGTTGTGGTCACCAATATCTTCTCCACATTCACAAATATTACTATCAACAATGCGAAGCCTTGCTAAATGATTAGGTGTACAAACATGTCCTAAACGCTTTCTGGAAATGATAGAAGTGACAATTTTAGAACTTTTAACCTCAAAGAACCATGGTTTACTGGGGATCCTGGGTTAAATTTCAGCATAATGTTTGCCTTTGAACTTGCTGCTTCTCAACGAAACATCATTCCATGACTCCCAAAGATGGGTTTTGGGAAGAGCAGCTAAATCATGACAATAATTAATGTATGGGACTATGTCTCCATCCTTTTTAGCTTATTTGGCAAGCTCATCGGCTTTCTCGTTTCCTTTAATCCCACAGTGACTTGGAATCCATGCAAAGATAACGGTAAAAAATTTTTTCACGTACAACGGACCTAGTGAGCGTCTAAGTGCGGAAAACGAGTCCACAAACCATACCAACCATACCAACGGTATAATTTCTTTGAGATCATATTAAATGCTTATCACGTATTTCGACTAAGTGAAGAGAATAAATTACTAACGCTATTGAAAATAACAAAAGAGGAACGAGCTAGATAAATGGAAACTATAGAAATATTATCAATTTTATTCATTATGATTTTAAAAATGAACGAAGTTCCCCGTGCTTTTCCAGCATTTTTTATTGCCCGCAAATGGGTCAAATTTGTCCTGTTGTTATGTAAGTCATGTCTTAAAGCATAAGTTTTCCATTCCTTTTGTAGCTGTGCAACGTCTACGTATTTTTTTATGTTTGATAATCTAGGCATCACATGATATAAATCTGTGATTTCAAAATTTAGAGCTTTACTTAGTTCAATAACTTCTATATTACTGAAATGTGTGTTTCGTTTTACGATTATTTTTAGTTTCCTGAAAATATAAGAACTTAATTTTAATAAGACTTAAATGTAACATTTTGAGTCTTGTAACAAAAGGATAATATATTACATTTAAAGGGATATGTTACATTTAAATATCATTATGGCAACAGTGTGACAAGTGCATGAAATATAGGATTCGTAAGTATTCTACACTGTGGCGATGGTAAAATACAATATACTTTCGTTAAGATTAAGCAAATTAGTAAAGAGTATGATTTTTCAACTTTTTGGTATAAGTATAATAATAAATTATGATTCATATGTAGAGTGTAATTATTACTTATTTATTTGTAAATTATACAATCTCGTCATCTTAAATCAACAAGAATTCAAATCTAAATAAAAGACACACACGAGATAACAAACATAATCAATGAATAAGGAATAAGCTAAAAGATTGACAAAGAAATAATTAACTATAGGTATGCACTGACAAATATAACTTTTTTCAGTTCACGGACAATGAATAAAAATAATAGGACGTGAATAACGTAATGGATCGTATAGGTATTAGGTATGTGCCCTATCCAAAAGGCTAGTTCTACTCTCTAGTTATGCTGAAATTTGCTTTATTAATCACGATTAATAATGAGCATGTGTAAACTTAGATTTATGACTGCTTTGTTCATAAAATATTTTGTAAACAAAGAAGTAGGAAATAACATTTTTTCATTTTTTAATTGTAGAGCGAAATGTGTAAGTGGCGTGAAATTATTTGCCCATTGAAAATTATTATAGTTTCTTGCGACAGTATAATATAATGAAGTTACATGATTTACTAAGTTTTGTGATAGTTATTATATTGGTAAATATTTAAAAATATTTTATTGGCTCGGCAAAATCGGTGAAGCAGAACCGAGTCAAAATATTTAGATTAGCATTTTGTAATTTCAGCTTTAAAATATGATACATATTTCGCAAGCTGTTCGTTTAATTTTTAACTTGAAGTATAGTGAAGAGACTGAGACTATAAAAATAAATTTACGCCCCACAAAAAAATACTTTTAATTGTTTATAATTGTTCCCTTTCTTCTAAGGTTGCCAGAGTATTTTCAATATCGTCCATAGATAAAACCATTTATTTTATGGATGATGAAGGTCCAGATAATCATATAGCTGATATTATATCATCTAAGAGTTATTTGCCCGATGAAAATAACTTACCAAAAACTTCCATTGTAAAAAATGAAGGTAAGTTGGCAAGTTTAGGTATAGGAAACTTCAATGTATTCATGATGGCCACAATTATGTTTTTTTGGAACATATAATATTATTTTGCGCACTTTAACTTTTATTTGCATTACCATTTAACATAGAGGGTCATCTGCTTCAATTAATCTTATTTAAATGTGTCGGTGCAATATAGTATAAGTAGTCAGTTAAATGGCTACCTTATATTAAAATATACCTGTACTAATATTTTGGGATGGTAATATAGAATTTTTGTTATAGAACACGCACCCAAACCATATACCTACTTACATTATTCCTTTTAAATATCTACATAGAATTACATGAAGCCATATAAATCCAAATTAAATTGATATCTTAAGACACAATTCAAACTAACGCGAGAAAAAGAAGCGCCTTCACGGAACTTGTAACTCGAACCCGCATTTTATTTCCGTTTACCTCATTTATTAATAATACGATAAGATATATAATGATTCACTATTTACAGGAGATGATGTAACATATTTGCTATCAAAATTGTCAGATGAAGATTTAATTAAAATGTTAAACGATCAACCATCTAAAAACGATTATGATTTAAGCGATATTGCCAAAGTAGCTGCTGGATTCAACCTGATCAAAGAGAATCAAGCATTGAATTTAAAAGAAAGAGACTCAAATAAAAAGAGCTTTTATGGAATTTCTGAACATAAAAATGACGAAAGCATTATAGACAAAAAACAGAAACAAATGCCATTTTTTAGGCTTGAAAATAAAAAGATTAGCTTGGATGCAAAAAATGACGCAAACTATTTTGCACTGAAGAAACTAAATGATCTTCTAAATTCAAAACGGCTTTCAATTCAAGACGATAGTCTTGATGACGAGAAAAGGGAGTTACTTTTTAATGTACTTGTCAACCAATTAAAAACTCTATGTTGTAAAAAGGCAGAGAAACAGATCCAAAAAGAATTCGACACTCAGAAAATTAATGATAAAAGTCCGATTGAATACATGTTTCTAATACTAAATGAGGAAATAAAAAGTAATGGAAGCAGCGAACTAATTATAGTAGATCCTGAAACTTTACAGCAAAATAGTAGCGTTTTATTGTTAGGACCAATCACAACAACCCTAACTGATCGGCAGCTTAAATTAATCGTATGTATTTATAGGTTACTAGCGGAGTAGACTGACTTAAATACAAAAAAGTATCTAATTGTAAATCTATTGAATCCACTTGAACACACACAAAGAGATTCATCAAAATCGGAGGCTATTATTCAGGCCTCAGCGTGCGACTCTCGTTCTTGATGTCGTAGGTTCGACCCCTGACTAAGCAACAATGGACTTTCTGTCTATTTGCGCATTTAACGACGGTGTGTGGTCATAGAAGGCTGATCTACTTGTCTATTCAATTAACAATAGATCATGAAATATATACAGAAATCTGAGGCCCAGACCTAAATAGGTTGTAGCGCCATTGATTGATTTTTTTTTACTAAGTCAAGCATCTCTAAAATATTTTCAGATGAATCGAATCACAATGGAACTATCTAAGCCCGAATATATCACCCTTCTTCATCAACTCTCAGAGGGCACTTTAGGTAGAAATAACGAACGCCTTATAAAGAATTTTATTAATGGGTCTGAAACTCGTCGGTACATAAAACCACATCGATGCAACCATCAATCAAAGTTAGCTAGAATATATGGCGGGCCGAAGTGGCTAATTTGTACAGGATACATAAATCTAAATACTCCGAGCTTATACGACTGACGTATTAAGAAAAATAACATATTATAAAAAGTTTTGTACATCTGTAATTCGATATGATATAATATAAACACCCAAATTACGGCTTATCGTTTTCATTTCTACATTTTCTAAGTGTATGTCAGGGTTTTAGGGTGAGATTTTGAAACGAGACTAAGCGCGGACCATCAGTCATAACTCCCGTATCACGTATGTCAAAATCAAAACACTTGACGTACGGGTTGACCAACTCTGCTTACATACATATTATATTACTCCATAGTTTTAACAAAGTTACTTGATTATTTCTGTATTTTACTTGTTACAATATTATTAACACTTTAAATTAAAATTTGTATTTCATTTAAAAATTACTCGGGAATGCTGGTTAAACATATATTTTATCTCATATATTTTATTTCGTAATTTTAAACTATTTTTTTTTTAAATAACTAAATATGTAAACAATTAAAAAAAAAGTCAAAGTTGTACTAAACAATGATAATTTTCTTGGCGCGAGAACTAACAATTTCGTAGCAAAAGCATTTTCACTGAATAACTAACAAACGTAAAATTATTGTCAATGTACATAAATGACAACTTAAACACAGGCAGATATAACATGAGTTTCAGTAACTGACTGACAGAACAGAGCAAGTATCTAAATAAAAAATATCGAGCCGGTAAACAAATCAGTAATCACCATCAATACCGCCCATGCCTTTTTGTTTCTTTACTGAGACGCTAGTCGCTACTACTGTACTTTATGTAGTTATAGTGTAATGTCATTAATTATAATCAAGTGAATTATTGTATCTTAGGTTCATACTACATATTCTAATTCCAATTCATGTCATAATTTTATTCTTCTATAGAAATAGAAGAGATTATTTACACAAGTGAAATGAAACGATGTGGATGGGTTAATAATGATCCTTTGTATATTAGTTACCATGACAATGAATGGGGTGTCCCTGAATTACATAGTCAAAAACTTTTTGAACTTCTTTGCTTAGAAGGACAGCAAGCAGGATTATCATGGATTACAATTTTAAAGAAAAGAGAAAGTTATAGACAACTGTTTCATAACTTTGATCCCTATGAAATTGAAAAATTTGATGATAATTGTGTCCAAATTTTTTTAAGTGAAACAAGAATAGTCAGGCATAAAGGTAAAATTCAAGCTATCATCAACAATGCAAAATGTTATATAGATATGGAGTCAAATGAAGAAAACTTTTCGGATTTCATATGGAAATTTGTCCATTATAAACCAATAATTAACAATTGGACATCTGATAAGGAAGTGCCGACAGAAACAGAGGTTTCAAAAGAACTTTCAAAATCATTAAAACAGAGAGGTTTTAAATTTGTTGGTTCTACAATATGTTATGCTTTCATGCAGGCTAGTGGTCTTGTTAATGATCATATTACTGATTGTGTTTGCAGAAAAAAAATATAGTCATACTTTTAACTAAACATCCTTTTATTTACATTGATAAGTTTGTATTGTATTTTTGTTTTGGTTTCAATATTAAAAATAACTTGGTGATCTATATATTTTCCTAAAGTTACTTTGTGCTTACTACTTGGTCTTGTACCTGGTCTGAAGATTTCACCTGTGTGGTAAAATATGGTCAGTACATGCAAGGCACACCAAATGCACAGGTGGGTGGGTGGAGTACAGTGAGCATAGGTGTTTATATACTATTGTAAATATTTTTCTTCTATTATTAGACAATATTTCAATAAACTGAGATGACACGTGGATACACAGAAACTACAGTCACCAAGTCCTTAACATAATGGTTTACCTAATACCTAGTTAACACTGAAAATGTTTAGAAAATGAAACACGACTTGACGATGTAGAAAGTTGCCAATACTTTTGTTGTTTTTCGAAGTAATTTCCGTTCCTCTCTACACATCGTCGCTTTCGATGGAACCACTGGGAAAGCAGTGGGCCCATTCTTCCTTAGAGGTCTCTTCTATGGCATTTTCATACGCTTTAACCGCATCTTCAGGGCTCGTAAAGCGAATACGTCGAATTTTATGTTTAGTTTTGGGTGCGTAGCAATATGTCCAGCTTTCATCACCTATGACGATGTCAAATACAGCATTTGAGTCACCGCCGTTGAACTTATCTAACATTTGGCGACACCAGTCCATGCGAAGGTGTTTCTGGTCGTCGGTTAAAGTATGGGGAATCCATCTGGTACAAAGCTTCCTGACTACTAAATGTTCGTGTAATATTTTTTGATCTTCACTCATACCAATGCCTAGGCTTGCCTTGCAATGCTTGTCACTCTCTTACCTTCCTCTATCATGCGTCGCACAGCACTGATGTTATCTTCAGTAGTCGCTGTTAGAGGGACGCCTCACGCGGATCATCATTGAGATTGCTACGTCCACTATGACGTCCACGCTTAAACTCGTTAAACCAATTGTTACCTAATAGTGGCACGAGATGGGGCTTCATTAAGAAATGATAATCGCAGCCTATCATGGCTTTGTTGTTGAGTAAGCCCACAACGGAAGTTATAATAAATCATTGACCGAAAATGTTCTCGCGTTAGGTTCATTTTCACGTGTAACGACTCATTGGTCTAGTGGTTAGTACCCCTGACTGCGAATCCATGGGTCCCGGCTTCGATCCCCGGCTGAGACGAACATCGATGTGATGAGCATTTGGTGTTGTGCTTAGGTCTTGGGTGTTTAAATATGTATTTATATGTCTATCTATCTATAATATGTATGTATATCCGTTGCCTAGTACCCATAACACAAGCTTTACCAGCTTAGCATGGGACTAGGTCAATTGGTGTGAATTGTCTTTAAAAAAAAAGAAAAAAGAAAAAAAGATTTGCCGCCAATTCACAAAAACAAATGACAAATGAATGCAATATACTACATTAGGTTACCACAGAGAAAATAATATAAAAACTTTTTTATAATTAAAATTATAAAAAAGTTTTCATAAGCAATGTTTCTAACTGGCTAATTCTAAACATTTTCAGTGTTACCCACGTATATAAATTTCTACAATAGGTAATTTCTGTTACAGCCCATTTTTCGGCGAAGAATTCCAATTTGAAGTACCCCGCAGATTTAGATACTTATCCATATACGTGTTCGACCGTGACAAACAGGCTAGCAAGCAGGACAAAGTCCTCGGAAAAGTTGCTATCAAAAGAGAAGATTTGGAGAAGTATAACAACACTGTCTCGGAAGTACAGGGTAAAGCATACATTGAACTGTCGATGGAGGACTCAAGAAAACGATTACGCATGGACCCTAAACCTCCCGATCCCGACTTCAGCGAATGTTCCAAAGCGAAGGCAAACAATCTCACTAGACTATCAGAATATTGTAAAGAGAGCATGCGATTCGGCTCGTGTTCGAGTTCGACTAGTAAAAAGCTGTTAGCGGCTGTTGCAAATGAACCTACACTGTCCCTTTCCCGTTCAGAAAGTTTAAAGGATCGCGCGCAATGGTCTGTACGCCCTAAACCACCGATGCACACTATGGCAGAATCGCCGTCTCCCACCGCGGCCGACTATTGGTCGGATCCAGAAAGACATTGTGCGGCACACGTTGGACCTGACACGATACGCTTAAGGGTTTTAGAATGTTCAGAACTGACCACCAAGAATGGGCAGAAGAGTTCTGAAATTTAAGTTCAAAAAAGTTTTCATTTGTAATGTTTCTAACTGGCCCGTTCTAAACATTTTCAGTACAGTGTTACCCACGTATGAATTAATATGTTTCAGTAGGTATAGAAGTCTAGGTTGTGCTCGTTTCTGTAATTCTGTTCCTACTTCCTGCGCCGGTACCTACTCTGAAAATACCTAATCCAGCTAAATACCTAAACCCAAAAGCAGTACCTACCTATCTGATGATTTGAGACAGTAAAAAATATTAAATTAGTTTGTTGACATTTAGTTCAATGAAAGAAGAGAGAAAATAAATAATTGCGATGCAACAATTTAACCTTATTTCTTCTTAATAGATCCTTATTTAAACTGTCGTCTGTCATTTTAAACGCCTACTGTAGACTATTAAAGACGGTTCTATTATCGCTTTTAACGCCTTTAAGAAAATTGCGTGCAATTAAGTATAAATTAGGTATAGTCGAGTATTTAAATGTTAAAATTACCTACACGTTAAAGTTAAGGGGCCGCAAATTCTAAGAGGCCTGCGTCAATGCTTTTGCATAATATTACTTTTTTTCTTGGAGTTTGGCGCATGCGTAGAATCACGTTAGTCAGCTGATTTACTCCGCCCTCGGTTACCCATGTTTCGCTATTTTAATTTTAGTTAATAAAGGAATTGATCAAATGCCATTATGTTAATTAGGACGTAGTGCACATTTTCAACAATATATTAGGTAAATTAGTAAAAATGAAGGCTGCAGCGATGTCTGTGTGGATTTTTATTAACCTCTTGTGTTTTGGGATGTGTGGTTACTTATATTTAATATGGTCTCAATATTGGATGAGTATTGAAAGACAGAAATTGTTTAGTGATTCACAATTTGGTGCTGCGCGAAAAAGTTCAAGATTACACTTTCAAGATGCCTCTCCAGAAAAGTTAGAATTATTTAAGATAAACAAATCATCTTTCTATGATTCCATTCTGAAATCGCGAAGATCGGTTGTGCTCAAGACTGCCCATATTTCACAGTCTTCCAATACAAAACTGTCTTCAGATCGACCGTCCGTTAATATAATTGTGAAAAGTCATGGAAAGCCTCGTTTTCCTAACTTACATAAGGCTATATTAGAGTTCGATACGGATAAGTACGAATGTGCAGATTTGACAACAACAGAATGTGAGGACCAGTCAAGGGAATTTAGAGAGCTTGTGTTAAAAGAATTCCACCGTGTTTTAATGGGTGACAGCAAAGTTTTTACATCGGGATTAGAAAATCAAAATACCTACGATGTGAAATATGAGAGAGATGGTCCGTTACGAAATAGTCGCAAGGATATTTTGTGCGCATTAAAAAATGTTGCAGTAAAAACGGTGACAGCAAATGATGAACCATTTTTAGATTTAGGTTATTCAATCCCAAAATCTCCGTTACAAGGAAATCGGCTGTATAACACGTGTGCGGTTGTGACAAGTGCTGGAGCATTACTGGGATCTCGATTCGGAAAATTTATTGGTACGTTACATTTTCAATATTATACTAACCAGCAGTCTAAACATATAGACTTAGTCTTATTTTTTATAGAACGGGGGGCAAACGGGCAGGAGGCTCACCTGATGTTAAGTGATACCGCCGCCCATGGACACTCTCAATGCCAGAGGGCTCGCGAGTGCGTTGCCGGCCTTTTAGTTAGATTAGTTAGTTGGGCCTAATTTTATGATAACGAAATTTATTTCTATCAAGAACAAATTCTTGCATTACTTCCATCGATGTATTACCGATCCGTTCCTTAAGCCTACAACGAAACTTATGTTTCCTCAGCCATTTAAATGTGGCTAATACGAAAGAAATTGTGCTATTGATATTTCGTACGTGGCATGCAAATACCTAGCATTTATATTACAAGTGTGACTATGCACGGGTGAGCGACCGTTATCGCATCGGGTGATCTGCGCTTTGTTAACACATTTATATGCACAAGCAGTTTCAAAGAAGGTCCCAAATCATATATGAAGACGGGGCTTTACTGACGTTACTCATGCTAACCTAGTCATTTTGGGCGCACCTTTTGGTATTGTGCAATTGTTATTACTTTTACGAACGAAATAAGAAGGAGCGTAGTTAAAGAACTATTTAAATTGGCAGCTTTAATTTATTGGAATCAATAATTGTTTAGAAACAAGGTATGTAAATGCCTTAGATTGTAGCTATTGAATATTTTGCCCTAAGAGTACGTTAAGTTGCACGATGTTATTTTGGTTATGGAGACACGTTTCACGGATTTAGAATATTACCATTTTTCCTCGTGATTTAGACAATATTTTAGTACTAGTTATAGTATACTAGTTACTTAAAATTAATACTAAATTATGTATTAAGTAAATATAATTATAACCTATAGACCATCTAGTAAAATTGGAAGAGACCTATGATAAACGGCACACCGAATAAAGAAATATTTTAGTATAACAACTTTGTAACTTGATTAAAGGATATTAATACCTATGCAACTTATACAATATGTACGATGCTATATATAAAAATGGCTTCCTAACTAGGTAAGATGATACCAGCCGAATTATTTACCTACAATATATAATACCTACGCATAATCAATGGTATTACACAAAACAGGGATTACAAATATATTCACAGACATCAAAGCCTTCGTAATTAAACAATATTATGCCATAAGATATAGAAGACAACTAAAGTCAAGTAAAGTATGTAGTTAATAGTTATGCAAAGATGGTTTGATTTATGCATTATTATCGAGATCTAAGTTCAGAAATGCACGGCTATCTTGAATGCTGATATGGAAGTTCGAAGCTAATGTTATGGCGCCGAGTCGTGGTTGGCGCCAGTATTTATGTATAATTATTGCATATAAAAATCACATCAAAGCTATGGCGATGACTTTATAGTTAGTGTTGAAGTTAGTTAGACGAATACAATAATAATATAGAACATTTTAAAGGCACCATAATAACGCACCGATTTTAGCAAAAGCGTCTACTCCGGTTTGGATATTATAACCCTATCAAGTGGATATAAATTGTGTATAATCGGAGGCGTTTGAGTAACCTATATTGAATACATACAAAAACTCAAATGTCTCAGGAAAAGTGGCCACATATTGTCCACCTTTTCCATTACGATGGCAAGCCATATTCCTGTATGCCCATTTCTGTTCTTTGGTTCCATTATATCCCTTATACACCTCGCTTCGCTTTCATTTTCAAAGATTGATTTTTGACTTAATACGAGACAAGTGTGATATTTGCCGAAAACATAGTCCACCATCATATTATTTTGTTGTTGTACAAGCTAGTACAAATCATGATTAGATCGATCCTTAACAAATATAACCTTGAGCGAAAGCGTATATTATATAGTAGGTGGGATGACTAATTCCACAAATAATTTAAGTGTCGTATTAGTCACCTAACCGCACGCGTGTCTTTGTCCTTCCTCGAAAGCTTTTCGTAACCTAGAGGTAAAACTGACAATGAAAATGATCACTTTATTTTATGTTCTACGAAAACAAAGGTTTTATGGTTTTTTGAAGTGCGCTTCAAACAGGGAAAAGCAAATGTTAAATATATGTTGTCGAATGTACAAATATTTCAAGCAACTGCAAATTCACGTACTTGTTGATAAAACTAAAGGAAGGTGGTTTACGCCAAAACAACCTAAATGTATTTTTAAAAATGCACGTGCAAAGAATTCCTGTAGTTACTTATTCGAACTAACTGCTAATTGGTCTCAAGGTAAAAATTCCGCGGACTTGCTTTAGATTGTGGAAATAAAACGGAAAATTTAAAAATGTGCTCTCGGGAATGAATAGGGCTAATTGTATGATGTATAATAAATGTCAAATGGTGACGATTTCTGCAAACAATAGAATTGCCTCAGTCAATTAAAACCATTAATAATGTATCACAAACATTATAGCAGTTTAGTTCTATTTGTGTCAATTTAAACTGTCGTCCTGCACGTGTTGCAACAAATAATTGTTTAAATTATGATGGATATCTCTAATCTTAAATAGAAATATAAATTATTATCAATTATCACACCTATTATCGGCAAGAAACTAAAATAGAAATCTGACCAAGACCAAGCGTCGTGGAGCCACAATTTTTTTAAATATTTCATATTTTAATTTTCGGTAATAATCTGAAGCGATATGCCTACGACATATGAAGATTTCATTAAGCGATTTAACATATTCACAGTATTATACTGAGACTATAGGCATAATTAAACACCAAAATTAAAAGTCAATATATATCCCCTTATCTGGCTTTTTATCAACTTTCATTTTTAACCCATCATTTGAGACCTTAAAACCACATTGAAAAATACATTAAACTCATCGGAAATGTCTACACCAGTCTCCCAGGTGAAGCTGGAGATGCTGGAAATCATTTCCACTCAAAAAAGGAGTAGACAAACTCTTTCCCTCAGCTCTTTACTAGTGTGTTGGAAGAAGTCTTCAAAACCTACACTGGAAGATTCTTCACATAGATGAGAAAATAACCATTTTTGAATTTCAATACATTGTCTCATACTACACCCAAAACTACAAACTTGATCGAAGAACTCAACCAAAACAAAAAGTGGTTTAACAATAACAAATAAAACAACCTAAACAAACACCAGATACTATTATCCTAAACAAAACCTAAATATGTACACCTACATATACTTGGACAACTCATCTCCATACAGAACAACCCATCAGGAAATAGAAGAAGAACCTCAAATCCTGAAAAGATTCTGGTATTAAAACACATCCTAAAGAATAAAGAGTTCCCACTTAGGATCAAAAGGAGCATCTTCAACACCTGTATCTTACCTATCCTAACTACGGCTGCGAAACTTGGACCACTAAGCAAGTCACAAGTCAAAAGCTTGTGACTTGCCAGAGAAGTATGGAAAGGAGCTGAGGAATGATAGGAAAAGAGCTGTAGATCTCCGAAGGATCACCAACTGGGAAGATGCAATGACCAGAGCCAAAAGGTTAAATAGATGACAGGACACCTCTCAGAGGCCAGAGAGCAAAATGGTCGAAAAAAGTCACCCAATGGACACCTCCTACAACACCAAGCGAAAGAGAGGAAGACCATGTGCCGGTGGGCTACGACTTTAAAAACCACTGGTCCTCTTGGCAAAGACTTGCCAGAGATAGGAAGGAATGAAAAGTTGGAGGAGCCTTTTCCACAAAGCAAGCTATACAAGAGGACAGCTGTGCTTGTTAAACTTTTTCTTTTTTATATACATTTATATTTTGTTCTCTTGTATTAGTTGAAATAAAGGCTTTGAAATTGAAATTGAAATTGAAATAGGCATAATTAAAGATCATACTGATATCTGAAGTCCATATAATTCCATACATTCTAACGCCACAGTTTCATGATCACAATATTTTTTTAGGTTAAGTTCTAGGTACATATTTTCATGGTATATACCAGTATTTTTCAGTGGTACGAAGATGTTTAATTATCTTATGAATTTATTGAACTTTTCTCACACGAGAGGGACTCCTGCAATTTTCTTAATTACTCTTTATTAAAGGTCAAGGAAATATTCCTAAGAAAAAAGTGAACGTTTTGCTCAATAATTGATAATAAGTACACGTAATTATTAAGTCTTTTATTTCTAATAGTGTTGTTTACTTCCATTGTTCCGCTTTCCTGTCTTTTAACGTGCGTTTTATTATATCAGTAAAACTATATTTAATATCTACTAACATCTCGTCTGTTGTTATTTTAAATATATTTTGTAAGAGTTATATAATTATTAAATTGATCTACGTTTTGTCAACATATTGCTTTAGACTATAAGTACAAATAATAATGCCTATATACTTGAGTATCGTAAAAAGTAAACTTTGCGTGCGAAATAATAATGTCAAACGTATTAATTTGGTAAAAGAGTTTTTTCATAAAAAAATCATTACATACAAACTTCTGTAGCTCAGAAAAACGGACGTTATGTTTGGCACACTTATATTAACCTACCAAAAAACTGAGAGAACATAAGTATAAACACGCACCACACAGTATAAGAAAAACTTAATTATTATTAATCATTATTACTCTTGTAACTATTCGAATTATTTACAAGAGAATTGATTTAAAATTCCAAATAGAATTGTAAAATTAAACATTTATTTCCAGATTCTCATGAGATGGTGCTTAGATTTAATAACGCTCCAACCGAAAACTATACTGATGACGTGGGTTCCAAGACGACCTTTCGTATCCTCAATTCTCAGGTTTATTTTTACACCATAAAGAAAGTAAAATTATATATTTCGGAGTTATGGTTCCAGTGTCAGCTGCCAATGTCATTATTAAACAGAGCTCATATAATAACAACATCAAAGTAAAATTAGTTCAAAACTGTTAATTCCTGTGGTTTATTCGATTTGCAATCTACAAATTAACGACTATTTGATAGTCCATAGTCACATATACAATTTTAGGGCCCCCTTTAAGTTAATACTAATTACTTGAGCCAATAGTATCAGGTAACACATTTTCAATGATAGCATGGAGTTCTAGCTTATAGAGTCTGGCTAATGAATGAAGATAATTGAATTATTTGAAAACTTTCGGATGGCAACACAGAATGTCATTGAATTTCTTAGGTTAGTATGATTTATTGTCTTGGTACTTCAAGCAATTACTCATTTTTATTTCTATTATATATATTTTCCGAATAGTTAACAGGTATAATAGCCTAAACTTTGTTTTATTTGATAGAATATTTCGTTTCTTTCGCAGGATTTGATTATTCCGAATAAAGTTGTGTTTTATAATAAATATAGTTTTAGTTTTCCATTCAATGCTAGTCATTTTAAGTATCAATGGTAAAATACTAAATACGTAAAGTATTTTATTTCATAGAAATAAGTACATTTACTATAAATGTAAAAAATTATAAAATTAAATCAAGTATCAAGTTAGTCTAATCCACAAAATATATCTTTTAGGGATACAATACTAAATTTTTTGAATTTGCCGCGCTTTTCGGTATGTTCTTTCATTAGCCAGACTCTACAATTATTCATAATTTATTGCAAATTAAGTTAAGAGACAATCAATAGACCTGCGTAACCTATTAACGGAAAAAGTTATATAAATTAGAGGTCCTAAGATCGGTTCCAAGCAAAACAATATTTGTGGATAATGGTAAATATATATATATGTAGAATTTGATCACTTCTATAAATAAATCATTGTAATCGTTTTTATTTTTCAGGTTGTCTCTAAGCCACAATATAAGTTCCTTGAAGACCCTTTATATAGAAATGTATCAATATTAATATGGGATCCCGCTAATTATTCCTCATCCCTTGAAGACTGGTATAATCACCCTGATTTTCCTCTGTTTTCTGTTTACAAAAAGTGAGTATATTTTAGACTATTGGGTAAACTGTATTCTACATTAAATTTTTCCGCATCATCGAAGTCTATATAGATTTTGCATGAGTGCGTGTGTATGTACCCACTGTGAGATTTGGGCACTGCGCTTTAAATTCTGCCGTGGTGTGCTTGTTTGTTTTAAATTAATCCTTTGACTTTATGTAAATATGTATGTTATAACTCTGTTATTAATAAGCCTGTTTAAAAAATGTTTGCCTAAAGTAAATAAACAAATAAAGTAAATTTTTGTTGGTTGGCGTGTATTTTCCAGAAGGGATACTATAGACAAATATGCTACTACTACTTTCCAGGTTGCTCGACATTCGACCAGATTCTGACGTTCATTTGCTAAATCCTACGGTGCTATGGCGTCTATGGAATTTATTACAAAATCTGTCGCCTTATAGATTAAGAAAGAATCCTCCCTCTTCAGGTTTCATAGGTAAAGCATACACTTTAGACCTTATAATAATAAAACTCTGCAGAAAAAATTGCGAATTGGTCATTTATATATTTTTGTGGGTATAAATAATCATAAACATAGGATATGTAAATTTACATTGCTTAAAAATCTCGAGGAATGTTATGAAATTATTTAAGATAGTTTCTAATTGTTCTTATAGTATTTTATGCGATCATCATTTTAACGTGATCCACTACGTCAAATACGAATTTGATTGAAGTTCTTATGTGTATTATTTTAAAGCAGTATTTAATAAATAAGCCTATTAAATTACACGAAACGAAAATATTTATGAAAATAATTAATATTGGTTTGTTATTTGCAAAGGCTTTCGGCGGAAATATTTATTAGATACTCGGGTATCAATATTTAACTAAGTAATTAAATTATTTTATCCGTGAATTAAACCCAAGACAGCCACGTTATTGGGTTGCTTGAAAATAAATTTTATCTTAGTCTTTTGAATTTCCAGGCATCTGGTTCGCCCTACATCGTTGTCACCGCGTACGCGTCTTCGAGTACGTACCATCCGTACGTGCGACTAAACGTTGCCACTATTACTTGACAGGTGACGACCCTGGATGTACACTTGGTGCATGGCATCCGCTAGCCCAGGAAAAGGCTTTGGCGGACAGGATACGTGATAATTCGGACGTGGACGTCTTCCAAAGAGGCTTCATTGATATACTGGGGGTTAGGAAGATGACATGTGATGCTTAGGAATTAAAATGAAGCGTCGAAAATCATCGGATAGATAAAACGTGAATTAGATGCCTGGAGCTGGACAATTTCCCAAATGTTTGGTGAATAAATGGTCAAATATGACTTGCAAGTATTGTATTGCAGAAACGATGAGAACATTAATCTCGACAGTGAATTAGATTAGCGTTATTCATTTGTTATTACCGAATTTTTCGGTCCTATATCTATTTACATCGGGCGTGAGTAGAATAGAATAAAGACAAAAGACCACAGGACATGTATAAAGAATGTTCTGCGGTACAACTAAACTATACAATAATTTAGTAAAAGATAAGTATGGTTGGATCTACACTCGCCAAAACAGCCCGAGCTGTACTGCCAAAGTGATTCCATAAAAATAAGTCTGACTTGGACTGCTTGGACAGCTAGGAAAGTTAGGCATAAAAAATAAAAAAGTTTAATACACATATATATTACTGTGTATTTAACAATAAAATATATAAACCGGTTCATGTTAATTTATTAATAAAAATAAAATGAGTATATAAGCTAATGAACTGAATAAGGCATTGTTAGGTATCATTAAGGTCGGTCCTATTTACGAAAATAAGTACATTTCTATACTTCATACTATTTATAAGACATTATAAGAATGCTTTATTCATTATTGAAAAGTTTGCTATGGTCTATATTTTGCATCCTACGTCTTCCATGTACGATATTTTATGGTAGAGCGAAAAAAGAGGTAGAGAGAAAATTTATAAATGATCTCACCAGCCGACTATCGTTTCAACGACAATTTTAGCTGTCAATTTAATGAAACTCACTTCATGTTTTGCCGCATCATTAAGTACTTGTTTTACAATTACCCCACAAAAGGTACATAAAAACTGCACTTTTATGAGCATTTTAAACTAAATAATAAAAACCATATATTTCAGATACTTTACATTTATTTTTCTTTCATCTCATTCATTTCTAGATATCTGTGTGCCCTTTTTTGGCAAAGGCCTCCTTCAAATCCCGCCATTTCTGTTTGCACATTGCCACTCTCTGCCATGTACCACTTGCTGTTTCATTAATCTGGTCTATCCACCTCGTAATTTCCTTTTCTTTTGCCTTTATTGTCCCTTTACCATTGCACTATTGAGATGAAAGGAATAGATAAAATAAAGAATGCATCATTAAGAAGAATAACTATTTGATAGATTTTGCCCAACTAACTATCCTATACGATGACATGCTCCAAATTTAACGTTCATACATATAACAATTCGATTGTGCGTATTTTTGATTGAAAGCTTTATTAAAGAATCAACTACATCGCGTTGTGTGTATTAAAAATGAATACTCAGATTCTGAATAAAACAGAAGAAATAAAATATGAAGCAAGAGGTTGCTAAGGCTTATTATTATTATATAATTGATATTATCGCTTGGGAAATTGAATTGTCATTGATAATATTATATATAAAATCCAACTCTACATTCACTAGCGAGTTTTACTACCTATAGTTTTTAGAATGCAATGCCGTTAAGATTAATGCGAATAGTGTTAATAATTAAAGTAGAATAGGTGGTAAAACTATCAGTCATTAGAAGTTTTTACATTTGTTACTGAAGACTATGGCAATAAATAAAAGTATGTTATTTAAATTGTTTTTTAATTGACCGAAATACCTTACATTTTACAATTCTACAAATGTTGTGTAATTAAAATGCCTAAGTTTAGGCTGTAATAATTTGTGCGTAACTTGTTACTTCTTTTATCCATCATATGATTGAGATGTTCACTAAAATGGGCAATGAATTATTTTATGATAGTGTACACATAATATACGTTTTTATATATTTCGGAGCAATTGAGTTACTGTCAGCTGCATTGACATTACATGAGACAGGGCTTAATTAACAACATCAAAGTCAAACCTGTTCAAAACCGTTAATACTAGAAGCTTATTAATTGATATTTCAATATTGGTCCAACATATATTAGATTTAGAAATATAATATAATCTTGTTAAAATAAAGATTTGGTTACGTTTGTGAAATATTTATACGATTTTTTTCTAAGGTGTATTACTTATGCAAGTATTTATGAATAGTAATTGATATATTCCATGCGGGTTCGAGAAATGTTTTTCTTTTGAGCACACACATCTATGTTAAAATGCAATGACCCACAGATAATAAAATCTTTATCGAAACAGGAACAGAGATTTGGTAGTTATTTTATGTGATCCAAGTATGGCCATGTGATTTGCCCTTGTTATATTTTTAGCGACTGAGTGAACAAGCTACAGGAATATTAATGTTCCACTAATGATTAGTGATTCAACACAAGCGCACGGAATTAGCGACATCCGAGATCTGCGCACGCGTAGCGGCTAGTACGAGTTTACATCAGAAAACGAAGATTACGCAAAGGTTTAGTGTCCTAATAAATAACATGCGATTTCTACATAAAACTAGAACAAGCTGTTTTGTCTGAAAGTTAAAAGCTTCTTACCTTTGTATGAAAACGGCTTGACCATATACCTGGCATAGACAAAAATTCGTAAAATCATAATGGGTATTATTATGGATATATTTAAATATATTTTACTTTTTAAACGAAACATTTGACTTAGTTATTTATTTATAAAAGGTTGCCAACGCTCGGCACACTGAAATCTTCGAGGCTGAGGTGAATACACAGTAGGTATACAGTTTACAGTCACCAACAGCACAAGGCACAAAAAAGCTACTACAATTACAACTTAAAAAATTGCACGATACAAAATCATTAATTTGCTATTTAAATCCAAAAACGTGTTAAAACTCATTATCGCAAACGTGATACGTATGTTTTACTCGCCGGCAACTCATACTACGCAAACATAATCACTTCCTCAGAAACGCCCTGTAGATTTTAAATAATCTTTATAAAACATTGATATGCTGATCGTATTTAAATTGGTCCGGAAAACACCATAGCGTAAATAGATTTTGTATATTTGAGGATAAATATAACAAAGAGATATAAAATAAACTTTAATGTGTCCCTTGTTTGTATGTATATTCAATACAGTTGTTTGAAAATTCACACTTTTTTAAGACTTCTTTTGTTTTTCGTAAAAAATGAGGTCAGTTTCCAATGGAGAATCAGAACATCTCTTCATCTGTTTATAGATTTTCTTTAGGCGTATGATTAGCCTTATTTATCGATTTGTTGGTCTTAGACGAGTCGGTTTCCTTACGATATTTATCTTTCACGGTCCGTGTGGTCCTATTTTAAAAATTGGTTATAATTATTTTTGTACATGGCAAAATTTGAACTAAATTTGCATATACTTTAACGACCTTAGTCTAGACTGTTTTAGTCCTATATCCATTATCCACACAGTTCTAAGCAATTTAAAAATACAAACACTTTATCAGATTATGTATAACATGTAACATCCTCTGACGAAAAGGGTAGAAAAAGAAAGAAAAGGAGGGACATAATTTCCCATCATATATTTCTACTTATTCATTGAATAAGTAGATATATGACACATTACGTATTACCAAATATGCTCTTAATAGTTTAAAAGGATGCACTATATTCATTTTAAATTGTGCAGGATGCCTTAGGACCTCTGCACCAAACGCCTATAGCATGACCAATTAATCCTATACGAGATCTATCATTCTTGCTACTTTTGTATTGTCTTGAACATAATCGTGTTTTTCACTCCTTGCGGGAGGATCTAACTTGTAAAGTTATTTAAGTATGAGCAGAATATACATATTTGCTTCCTACTTAAACTAATTCAACATATTAAAAACAAATTAGAGATGGATTAGGTCCTAACCACAGTACTGTAATTGTTTTAATTCCTTGCGTTAGGAGATATGTCGGTACTCTGAAATCGTACGCCTCGTAGACGCAAGAGAGGGAGGATGGATTCTTATTTGTCCTAAATCGACATGGGACGTTCGCGTTTTGGGTCGCGGGCACGTTTTGGAAATAACACTCGCGTTATATGCGTGTTGATTATTTTTAATAAACAATAGTGCTTTTAAAAGAAAAAGTGTAAAAAATCTTTTATTTTGGTGAGGTTCCTAACAAAATATCAACGCCGGATTATACTGCTGCATCATCCAGTAAAATATTTTTTTGGAAAATGTTCAAATTTGCCCCCATGAAAACTTAACCGTTTTCGTTGAGACACGCAGTTAAACACACTGACGCTTCTAAAAAAATAACATTTTACCATTTCCTAATTCTCAATCAATGTGCTTACAATGTTTTAATGAAAAACACTTTGCATAATTAATAAAACTTTTAGAATCGATAACTGAGATATGATTTTATTCCCATCACTACTTACTACACATATTGAACTATCTTCGGTGCGGTACGAGATACAATCGATATCTAATTTTTTTGGTTTTTGTTGTTTATTCAAATATTCGTAACTGCGTGCGAACCTAGCAAAATATAAAGCAATTAGCTATCTTTCACCCACAAAAACTTCAAAATATTTGTCATTGTTTTTTTTGAAGATATATATTATTTTCAAAAGTGTATTTTTAGGAGACTGATTAGGTCTCAAACGCACCAAGGGATAGGCTTGTTACGAGATCTTTTAGGTCTCCAAAGCACCAGCTGAAAGTTCTTTAAATGATGGCGCATGACCAATTAAGAAGGCAATGTAAAAATAGAAGATAATTAAGTGTTCTAGGAAGTGTTGGACACTTGCCTAGCAAACCCCTGGCTTTTGTCCAGCGATAGAATTGATGGTTCTATCAATGCGGCGATTATAAAGCCTCATTTACCTATCATTTGTATGAAGGTTGCATATGATAGTGTTTGTATACATTATTCAGATTTTCAAGTTCAAGAGTAGACATCTGTTGTGGAAACAAAAATGTGAAAATCTTCTTCGAACGTGCCGAACGCGTCTTCATCTACCGTAAAGTGAAATGCAGGCCTGATTAAATGACAACTCAGAGGCTCTAAGGCTTTATTGGTTGGGGGAAGCCCGAGTGGT